GCACACACCCTCCCACCTGCCAGGAGTAGGTGGATTCTGGTAGATTTTTTATTTTCTATTATCCCAGTCTTGTTCTCTTCATCCTAATACCCAGATCATAGGGTCCTCTCTAAAAATTTCTGGAGAAGAAATAAATTCTATAACTTACAAAATACCAGAGAATTATCATAAGCACTTCACCATGCAACTCTGAAAGCGCAAGTTACAATTCCATTTGTTCTGTAAAACAACTGCTGATCTTTCATCAAGAAAGACACAAACACAAAGCAAAACCATGAACACTTCAGTATCATTTGAAAATGATGTCATAACAGCTCCATTTTCTTCTCCCTGGAATTTTCCTTCCCTATATCCAGCATCCATTTATATTTTGTCTCTCTTTCTCTTCCAAATCTTTCCTTTGCTAGTATTTCTGGAAAGAACTCTGATGATCACTTGACATCATAGTATATCTATATTTGTATTTGTTTACTTGTTAGAATATTCTAAACTCCTTGAGGGCAAGGATTTCAGATTTTCTCCCCACTGTATTCCCCACCCTGCTAACAATGCCTGGCACAGAGCTGGCCCAATGAATTTTTTTCAAATGTTGCAGAATAAATCATGTACCATTAGGGACTCTGCCTTTGTTAGAAGTGGCTAACATATAGTCTGCATAATCACGCATTTGCCTAACATTTGGGATAATTCTTTTTCTAACTCCTTAGAATGGTGGTCTTTTCACCAAGAGAGAAAAGAAACAAAGAAAAGCCACAAGGATATGGGAGCATAGGGGAGGAGTTGCCACCATCCCAAGGTTGGTGGTCCAACACACGTATTATGCACCCCCAACATTTGGGCCATATCACTAGCATCCTCCTCTCTCACCTCAGCCCTTCCTTCACACTTCCTTTCTCATTCCTGCCTATCTACCCTTCCTTTGCATTCCTGCTTGTGACCTGTATTGGATCCAGAACTTGCCCAAGCACAGGGGCCCAAACCCTGTAACCTCCCTGATGTCCACAGTTCTCACGGGGTTTTTTTTCCTCAGCTGGAGGCTCCTCTTCAGACTTCTCCTCTTTCTTCTTCACCAACCGCACTTTCTCCAACAGGCTCATTAGGCGGCTTCCCAAAGTGGCCTCTTCCTCTGGTTCTTCCTCCACCCCCTCCAGCTGAATTCCTAGAAGTTGTCGAGAAAGAACAGGGTGTCACACATCTGTTGGCTGTGTCATCTGCTCATCCACTCCTTCATTCATTAATCTGTTCATTCATTAACTTCTCATTCATGC